ATTGGATTCGGTTACGTAATCATTATGTAGGTATCAAATTAAGTCGTTTCGTGGTACTTTCTTTATTTTTGTTGTTTTTCTTTTTGTCCATGTTGTGAGGCTGCTTCCGTAGGAAAAATGTTTCTGATTCGATTTCTTTACGGATTCCTGTTCAAAATTATCCATTTTAAATAAATCTGAGTGCTGGGCGTAATTTATTTAAATAATATTTAAATAAATTCCAAAAATATTTTTTTTTTCTGAAAATATTTATTTGAGTTGTTTGGGTCATTCTAAATAAAAAATTCTTTTGTTATACTTGGACGCGCATAATAAGCAATTAAAATTCTTAAAATCTAAATTAAAATAAGCCCCGATTAGGTAGGTACTCGTCCGAATCTTGAAATTGAATGTTTAGACTTCAATTTGGCAACCTCAAAAATATTATTTTATTATGTGTAAGAAAACTACATATGAGTTTCCAAGCCTCGTATATGCGAATTTTCGCATTTTTCATATTTTAAATCGCTTACACCGCTTATTAACTTTAGTGAAAAATGAGGAGAGACCTTTTTTGTATAGAACGACTTAAAGATCACAAAAAGAGTGATTTTTAAAATTTGTTTAAAAAAATTGTTACAATTTCTTTTTAAAAATTTCGCATGGTACCCTTTAAGGAACCATTTTTGAACTAGAAATCGCAAAAAAACCGAATCAGAAACAGTTTTCCTACAGAAGCGTCCTTGCCACATGAACTACCTCTTTTCTAATACTAGCTTTTCCTCACATTGTATATCATGATACTAAGACTTCCAAGATAAACCCACTTCGCAATCGAATTTTGTACATCGACGCGCATGACGTCAATTGGTGATAAAAGTCACTTTTATCACCAACCTTTTATAATCATAGTCGGTAAAACATATATGGAAAGAGAGGGTTTTTATTTAAATATTTAGAATATTAAGGGATGTTAGGTAAAATATCTGCAATTAAATCTTAAAAATATGTTATATATACATCTCTGTTAGCCTAGCAATGTAAACTAAAATTATATAAAAAAGTAAGAACTAAACATCCTTTTGCAAATGGAAATTTATATACAATGGATTGATTTATTAAAATAAAAATTTAATACAACTGATAAAATAAAATACACTGTAATAATTTAGAAGTTTATTTAACAATTTATTTTACAATTTTTAATATTTTCTTTTTCTTAACTTTGGATGTTTCTTTAATATATCTATTCAATTTTTCAATTTTAAAATATAATTTACACCTTTACTAACATTACATCTGAACACAGCTAAATCCATTAGCGTTTTTAAATAATTATTGGTTAATTTTAACGACCCTTTAAAATTGTTAAAAATATGGTCTATAGTATATATAGTATATAATAGTTCATTACATTTAATTAGAAAATCTGGATATGGTTTAAGTAAACCTCCTTCGGAAAGATGGTTTACCCAGTAAACCGATGTCAACGTACAAGATAAACGATAAAACAAAACTAAATCTCAAGATTTTTAAGTAGATACTTAAATATCTACTTACCTTGACTAAATCTGACAAAACTCCATACAACACAGAACAATTCTGGTGACATTTGTGGCCAAGTGACGTCACACGACTGATCGCGTGCGCGTGGGTTTATCTGTAGTTTATAGTATCATGATTGTATATAATATTGTAATATTTTTTACATAAAACTTATAACCCATTATTATTGATATTTTGTGGTCTCACATTTTGAGTTTTGTAAATTTTTAATCACATACAAAGTAACTTGTGCTGTCCCCTTCTTTTGAGAAGAAGCAGTTCTATAAATATGTTCTTTATTGACTTGCAGAATACTATCCACAGTCACAAGGACACAGAAATGGTCACGTTATGTATACTTCAAAATACTTCTGTAGATGGCGAATGGATAAACTTTAATATATTATTTTGTAGATTTCTACACATTTAAATAAAAATTTTAATCACAATATATTGCATGAAATAATGGGCATGACTATAGTTCTAAAAAGATTTTAGTTATTAAAAAATATTAAAAGTTAAAATAATATTTTATTTTCTCCAAAAAAAATATCATGCATGAGTACGATTTTATCTATAATTTTATAAAATGCAAAAATTTAACATTAGTTATTAAAAAAAATAATATTTAGATACTTATCTAAAGCATTGTAATTGTTTCTATTATTAATCAAATCGTAGTTATCGCCATCTCTCAGAATATTTTAAAACTTCTATCCAATCCTTTATTCAAGAACGTCCAAAATATCTCCTAAATAAATTTTAAAATTCATATTAATTTTTGTAGAATATTTAGGCTTTTAATATTTACTTTAGAAATACTCCAGGTCTTTTTAAAAAAAAATTCTTTTACCAATGAAAATAATCAATTTTCAGATAATTTAAGATTTTATTTACTCTTAAAAGATGTCAGCACCAGAAAACATGTCAAATTATGACGTCACACATCACCTCATGATTAGAAGAGTTTTGATTCGTTGAAAAAGATATGGTGAGTTTTCAATGAAGGAAGATTTTTCTAAACCAAAAATATATAATTTTGCTAAAAATGAACGAAGATATTAAAAATTATTCATTGCATGGCGACTTTGGTCAAATACCTGACCTGTCAGGAATAGACGGTAAGCAAACAGTTGTTCATTATAGAGAAATAAGGATTGTTTACTAAATAGGTTTCAAATACCTCTGAATAAACTAAATATATCTACGTAGTTTATTAATATTAATTAAACAAGTATTTATGTTACTGACACAATTACCCACATGTTACATGCTTTTGTTTATTAATAAATAACCTAACGTTTTGATAAATTCGCCTAGTTATTGCTAAATTCAAAATCGTGAACAAACCTTTTTACATTCTATTTACGTCTTGATGTAATTTATTATGTATATTTTATATATTTATACATATTAACAATAATAATACAATAAGTGCTATTTAAGTATCTTATTCCCTATCATCAATTAAATGTAAATATTTTTATTTACACAAATGTCAACATATATATTTGCTGTCATTGAGTTGTATTTTTAACCCTCTACTTAATGGAAAAATTTTTATTTTATGATTAAAAAATTACAGTTAATAGATTTTTACAAATATAATCACAAAAAATATTTAAATCCCATTCTTAAAAAAATAATAATTTTTTTAATTTGAGTTGCAAATTTGCTACAAAGTGGTTATGTATTATATTGATCATGTATCATTTACTCTACTCTGTAGTAAATTTAGTAATTCTTTTTTGTTATAATTCAAAATTTCCACTTAAACGGGATGTGGCTGGAAGTTACTATCATTGAAAGTGCCAACCAATAAATTTGATCCAATCCAAAAAGAAAGGAGTTTTGGGGAAATTAACTTTGAACAGTCATACTCGCTACAAACACTTTACTACTCAAGAAGTCTGGAATATCATCAGAGTTTCATAATTGGAAATCTCCTGAACCAGATTGAGTTCAAGAACTTCTGGCTGCAGAAGTTATGGAATGTTTATTAATGCTTATCAATATTAATTAGTCATGCTACATCTAATACACAGGACACACCAACCTTCTGTATTCTGGGAACAACAGGGATGAATCAAAACATCCAAGATCCAGCCAAGTACCACCTGATTACTTGTTTTCCAATTTTACACAAATTACTTAAATCATGTGTTGCCCTGTGCATCTAACAACACTGTATTTGAAACACTGTATTTGTATGAAATCATATAGCCTCTATAAAAAGGGTGCACTAAGGGCAATATGGGCTGCAAAAACACTTATAATTGTTATCTCTAATCAAGTATTTACTAAGAAAAGGAATCCTTTACCACCTATGTTGATTACAAAAATTCCTTGTACCTTGTGGTTTATAAATATATTAAGAATATATAAACTCGATGATGATATTGTGATCTTTTTAAAACAGAGAATGACTAAAAGTCATCTTCAAATACCAGATCAAAAACCATAGAAGCTGGAAATATCTCAATTAATCAGGACCTATTTCAAGAGATTCCTTAAGCCCACTGTGGTGTTGTCTAGCAATAAGCCCATTATTCCAGCTACTGGACTCCACTGACTCAAATTTTAGCCTCAAAAATAAGAAGAGTGTAAGGGGTTTTATCACATGTTATATATGGATGATTTGAAATTAACGGCTTCCACACAAAACCATTTGATAAGATGCTAAAAACTGTAAAAACTTTATTGAATGACATTAGTTTGCATTTCAGACTAGACAATTCACATACTAGTGAAGCCTTTGCTCATGGTCTACTGCTTATTTCATAATCACTTTATTCATGGTTTCCATGTCCAAATAATTATATAGATTGTCTTTACAAACTTTCCAGAAAAAAATTCCCCAAAATATTTTATTTTTAATTTTTATATGACATGTCTTTTGCTTGCATTGCTATAATTGCATGCCATAAAAGCAAGAAACAGTATTAACATGTACAAAAAACACTAGCTCAGTATCGTCATGGGTGACTTGGACACAAAGATTGGCAAATGACAACATTGTGATATCATAAGAAAATGTAGGGGTATGAAACGAAATAAGAGATATGTGTACTTAATTCCGTTTAGGGAAGCAACTAGTCAATTATTATAAGTCCAATTTTCAAGCTTCCAAAACATGGTATGTATACTAAACCACAGCGGATCTATTTTGAGGTGGATGTGAGAGATAGTATTCTAATTTTTGCAGAAAGAGTTGTCTGACAACTTTAGTAATAATAATAATTGACTTACACTCACACACAAATAGGTCAAAAATATTAATAAAAAAATGAAAATAGTTTATTATTACTAAAACATTGTTTTTTTACTTTTCGCGCTTATAACTTTAAAACCATTCAATGTTTTTCAACCACTTAGATTGTACTTGAAACCTTCATAATTCGCTTAAAAAATTTTTATAATATAATAAAACAGTCCACCAAATTTCATTAAAATTGATTTAATAGATTTTATGTTATTAATTCAAATATTGATATGACCCAAGATAGAAACTTATGGAAAAATGTAATTAGGAAAGCTGACCCCAGATAGGGATAATGGAAAAGAGAATTATGATGAAAGAACCTTTTTTTTAATTTTCAGATAATTATTTGTAGAGGTGTGCTATCTTGCAATGTGGACTGGAAGTATCCTCTTATTGCTTAATCAAAATCTTCATCTCGAAGTTATTACTCCCCACAAGTTTCGTCATATAATTCTTAGTAAATTTTATCCGAGATTAATAATATTGCTTTGCGAATTTTCTGAAAATTGAAAAAAAAGTATGAAGTAAATAATAATTTTTAATTCAATTCTATAAACTAAATCCAATAAATTAAATTATATTGTTGTATAGTTCATTTTTATTAAAGTATCATAAAAAGATATTAAAAAAATAATTTGTTAAAACAAAGATTATTTAAATAATTAATATCCCTTGTAATGAGAATATTGGTATTTAGAGTGTTAAAAGGTACACATTTAGTAATTTTCTAAAAAAAAATTATCTTTTTAGTGGAAACTATTTTAATGTGAATAAGCGACAATTGAAGTTTAAAATAAGTTTAAGACATTTAAATTTCCACTTATAAAGTCTTTCTCAGAACAATTTTCAAAGTGGAAATTGTAACATCAATAAATTTATTTTAAACTTTAATTGTGGCAAATTACCATTAAAATAGTAATAACTTTAACACTAATTCTACAGTAAAAAAATCTTTGCCTGATTTGCTGAGTTTATTCGCAAATTTTTGCGTGAATGTTAAAGTCTCTGCTCCATAAGTTTGTGCAGGCAAAACACATTGCTTGGCACACATGGGAATTGAACTTTTTATAATATGGCTTAATTTGCCAAATGCTGCCCATGTCAGGCCTATTCGCGTCTGTATTTCATGTGTTTGATTGTCTCTGCTTATTTTGATCTCGTGTCCCAGATATTTGTAAGTGTCTGTTTGTTAGTTTGTTGTATGGTATTATTGTCAATAGTTATATTTCCACTCATTACGAGATTTGTCATAAGTTTAGTTTTCTCAAAGTTTATCTTTAATCCTGCTCTTTCAGACAGACTTTTAAGCGAATGTATCATAGAATCTGTATCCTGTAAGATATCTGCGGTTAATACAACATCATCTGCAAAAATTAGATGATTTAATCTTTCTCCATCTATATTGATGCCCATATCTTGCCATTGAGTTTTCTTAAATATTGACTCTAGAGCTGCCGTGAACAATTTTGGTGAAATATTCTCTCCTTGCCTAACTCCTCGACCTAAGCTGAATTTTTCTGTGTCTTTGTATATACTTGTAGCATTCTCGTAGATGTTTTTGATTAATGTAGTGACCCTATAATCTATTCGGCTTTGATTTATGGCTTCCAATACTGTTTCAAACTCTACAGAATCAAAAGCCTTCCCGTAATCGACAAATACAAGAACCAGTGATATGTTGTACTCGATGCACTTTTCTATTAATATCTTTATGGTATGCAAATTGTCATTTGTGCCATATCTTGCTCTGAAGCCTGCCTGTTCTTTGGGCTGATAGAAATCAAGTTTAGGTATTAGGCTCTTTGTTAAGATTTTCATAAAGAGTTTGTACATATGTGTCAAGAGGCTGATGGGTCTATAATTTTCTAATTTAGTAATATCGCCATTTTTGTGTAACAAGACTGTTACTGCATTGTTCCAATCTTTTGGAATCGTAACCGCATATAAGCATTTATTAAACAGTTCGCTTACTGATTTTAATATAATTTCTCCTCCTGCTTTTATTGTCTCAATAACGAATCCATCATCACCAGGCGATCGATGGTTCTTTATTTCCTTTAAAGCTGTTCTTACTTCTGACAAAGTAATGGGTAAAAGTATTTCCGATCCCTGATTTATGAGAGTCTTTACTTGTGTTGGGAAATTGTCTTGTGGTCTTTGGCTGGTATTCGCTCCGTGCGTGACCATGGTAGGGGTACATTGAAACGATGCCAGCGTGCGTAGCGGCGAAATATTACAAAATTGGAATATTGGACAAAATATTTTTACGCATAAACTTTATCAAAAATGTGTGCAAATACATGTTGCGTATTTAATTGTGCTAATAATAGCAAAAACAGTGAGTGTAGTTTTATAGGTTCCCAAAGATTACATATAAATTAGAGAAAGGAAAAAGATGAATTCGTGCTATTAATATGAAAAGTAAATATCACATAATTTCATTTTTATGCAATTAAAATAGGAAAAATTTAAATAATTTACCTTGAATGATATTTCATAAGGCTTCAAGCTAACTGCAGATGACTTTAGCTTTTATATCATAACTTTTACTATTATTGTTTTTAATTATATGCTCTTTTACGCGAAAAACTTGATTTGCCAGTACTAGATTTTTCCCTTTCTTTTCCGTTTGGAGTTGAAGAGATATATTATGATGAATTTTTGAGAAACCCAGTTTTTAACACTACATTTATTTTGTATATAAGCTGAAAAAATATAGTTAAAAAACTAATTTATTAATAATTATTGTCAATTTTGCATGTATTTAACGTCAAACATATGTCATATGTTTAACCTGAAAATTGGGAGGTCCACAATTGTCAGATGAAGGCGGTAGGTGTCGCGTCAGTCACGCATGGAGCGAATAGAGGTCTCTAGTTTTTTTCAGAATGTTTTGTTTATCTGTTGCTGCCTTTCCGTCTTTATCTCTCAGCTTGTATATTTCTTTTTTACTTTGTGTGAGTTTTCTTTTCATTATCTTTAAACCTTTGTTCTCTTCTACTGTTTGAGTAATTACATTAGTATTATATCTTCTTACTTCTTCTTCTTAACATGCCATACACCAAAGTGCGTAGGCGACTATCTCATTACTAGAATTCTGTTCTTGGCGGCGTGACACAGCTCGCCTGTATTGTGGATTCCTATCCATTCTTTAATATTCCTTAACTAGGATAATTGTTTGCGGCCGGCTCGTCTCCTACCTTCGATCTTCCCTTGTAGGATTAACTGTGGTATTTCATATTTTGCTCCTCTCAATATGTGCCCAAGGTAACCAATCTTGCGTTTTATATTAATTCAAAGAGTTCTCTTTAGACGCCGGCTCTCTTAAGGACGTCATCGTTTCGAACTCTATCTAATTTAAAGGTGTGTTTATTAGTTCTTTTAGACGAAGTAGTTCAAGAGAACTATTTCACAAAAATGAACTAGTTCAGTGATCTAGTTTACGAAAGGACTATTTGTATATAGGACCGAAACCCAACCCTAACATAACTAGTTGCCAGATGTCTCGTCTCAATCATCACACAAGCTCGGCACCGGCCACCCGTTTTCTTCGGTTTTCAGTCAGTCTTTCACTCTTTTACTAGTTCACTACCGTACAAGTAGTTCGGAACTATTTCTTTCCATCGTATGTTTAGGTTTAAATGGTTTAAATTATTAAATGATTATTTAGTTTTTATTTGCAAAAAATTATTAAGATTTGTTTTTTATTAACCGTTTTAAATATAAATATGGTTCACGTATGATTTATTTTTATATTTACGTATATTTAAACTCATAGATATTTATAATTAGGTTATTTCTAAAAGAACCTTTACAAAAAAATCAGTGAATTTTCTAGGAACATTAAATAACACATTTTCATTCTCACTTTTACATAAAATTATATTTTATGTAAATGCCTCAATAATTTTAATCACAACTAAAATTTTTATTTCAAAATTATAATACAAGAAACAACACAGTATGGCAACATCCAAGCCAATACATGGGCATAAGATCCGAACCATTATGACATTAAGATAAGACTTTATGTTAATCACAATTATGAATCTGTTATCTGAGGCTAATCGGCATTTTTTTTAAACTAGTTAGTCCATCCATTCACAAAATAATAAATATATGTTTTCATTCATTCATTCATTATTTTCTTCGTTCGCAGTGAACTAGTTCTATGAAAATTAATGAACTAGTTCAATTAGTTCAATTGAAAGAATCGTTCATTTGAACTATTTCGATGGTGAACTACACATCCCTAATGCGCATCATTCTTCTCAATGACCACATTTCAAATGCTTCAAGTTTGTTGATAGATGTTTTTTTCAAAGTCCACGTTTCCATGCCATAAAGCAAGATGGACCATATGTAGCATTTGACTATTCTGTAACGTATATCTTCTTACATCTTTTCTAATTTCCGCTGAAATTATTTTATTTAGTTTTCTATATTCTTCTTTGTTTCCCTATTCGTTCTCACTTCGTCGTATTTCCATGAGACCCTTAGTATATTTGCTAATCTTTTCACTTTTGGTGTCATTTTTCTTGCAAAATTTGAGTTATGCGTTTCTAACCGAGTCTGTTATTAATTTATTGTCATCGTCAATACTTAGAGGTTTGGGATTATTACTCTGTAAAGTTTCGGCTATATTTTTTATGTATGCTTCTGGCTGATTGGGTGAATTTCAAACTATGCGTTTGTAACTGTTTATCATCTTTGCTCTTTCTTTTTGTAGGTTTATCGTTACTCTAGCTCTTTCCTATTTCCTAAGAATGGTTGAACTCTATTGCTGCTTAGTGATGGTGTTTTTACCATTGACAAATATTAGGAAATTTTGATTATTGTTGCCCGCTTTCATTTCAGAAGATTGTACACATAAAAGATCGGGGATTTGCATTTCTATTTAAGGGGAATTCACAATTGCTCGTTGTACACAGGTGGTCTCTCTATAGGTGTATTGGCTTACAGAGGTTTTACTATATATTTTATAAATTCACAACGGAAGAGTCCATTTGTGTACCTAACGAGGCGGTGACAGTTAGGTATACAAAATGGCAAAACTGACCATAATTTGTTATTTTGAAATGTTTCATAATTTTTTGTACAGGAAACTTAAAAAAATCTTATTAACGAATACGATAAAGCATGAAAAAATGTTAAAAACAATATTGCCACCTACAAAAATTGCTGCTGAATAGAAATTTGATTGAAAATATTATGAAATTATAAAGAGAATAGTAAAAACAGCAATTTTGTTGATTAATATAAAGCTTCGCGCTACTCTACAGTACCGCCTACTGACCCTTTTTTTCGAGTTTTGGAGGTTTTTGACAGAGGTTCTACTGTAGTTCAATCAATTATATATATTATATTTCACCTTGGCGCTATCTGTTAGATCTACAACAACCGAACGATTTTTTCGTGGCGTTGCGGGTATTGCCTAAATTTAAATTTCATTAATCACAATATTATTAAATCTATCTTATATACTATTATTATTTTATGTTTTTACTTTTTATATTTTAGACATACTGGACCATTGCGAAAATGAACTTTTAAAAAGTGAACTATTTGATGATGATGCTTTTATGGCATTAGATGACAATGTTTCTATGGACTTGATGAACTTCAATGATTTAGAACAAAGTTCATTGATAAAAGATTCATCTACCTTCTCCCCTAATAATTATAGTAATAGTTCTTTATTTGATTCGTCACAGTCACCATTGTCCCAATCCTATCCTTCTCCACTACTAGACAATAGTTCTCTAAATGCCCCTATCAGCCCTAAGTATAGTCCTGTTCAGCCACAACCCATTGTTCAGAATGTACAGATTAAAAATGTGGCAGTTCCCGTACAGAATTTACAAAACTCTGTCATTATTTCATCAGCCAATTTACAACAAACTACTCAACCGGTTGTATACACAACAAATATTCCAGTTCAGAATCAGCATATAATTTTACAACAAGATAATAGTAAAGGGCAAGGTGGGAGACAGAAAGGGCAGAGAGGGGTATTGGTGCAGAATATTCAACAGATTCCAGTAGATCAAATGCAACCAGTAGTGTTACAAGCAAAAATATTGAAAACTGATTCTCAGGTAAACTACTTTTTACTACAAAAATTTGTGATTTAAATGATTTATTCTGTAACCTTAAAATATATTATTATAAGGGATGTCGTATCATTTTTTTTTAATTATTACTACGATCTCATGAGCCTGAAATGTATTTTTATGTATTCTACTACTTCCTGCATTTATTAAGTTCTCTGATGAAGAATTTCTAGTGAGATATTCTGCTAGCTATTTCGTATTTTTTGCAGTTTTTTGTATTTTCCTTGTGGATTTTTCATTATTATAGTGTTCATTTAGTTGGTTTGTGCCATTTATTGTTAATTTGCTATGTCTATGAAAATTCTTAGTAATCATGGCTTACTATGTATGCTTAATAGTATCTTCCCGTTCATCAATTCCATAATTCACTTGAAATAAGACATATCGAAAGGATTTTATCTTTTTGGGAATTCTGGTATATCTGTTTGATCATATGGCATGATTTAACGTGCTCATTTAACAAGTTTCTCAAGGTTTTCATGGAGCATCAAGAAAAATATCCCTCATGCCCATTCAGACTTTATCGTCAATCAGAAGTTTAAATATCATTAATTTGTTGTATCATTTCTGTATTGGTCATATCTTCTCCTTTTCAATGTTGTTTTAAACATAAATGTAAGGTTTAGACAGATCATAATGTAGAGAGGCTGCTACACGACGCTATACCACAGTATATTGCTTTATAAAGAATTCTTTAGCAATATACTGTGGCTATACTACAATCAGCTAGTTTCACTGTTCGTGTCTAATATTTTGTATGATTGGATTTTAAATTGTTGACCGTATGTGTAATATTTTTTCATTTTATATTCTGTTTTCTTCCTTATTATTTGTCTTAACTATTTCATCTCCATTGGATTGATGTATGCTCGTGTGTTATGTATATTATTTGATTTTTATCCTTATTATTTGGATGTATATTTTTGTTCAACTTCTTTGTCATTGTACCATTTTTGCGTAGCATAGTTGTGTTGAATTATTTCCTCTGTTGTATCAATATTTATTTTGTATTTGTTGGTATGTGATTTTTTCTTCTTCTCTTTATGTCCTTGATGTTTTTTAACAATAACCAATGTGTTTTTTAATATTCATTTCCATTGATGTATTGTACAATTTCTACTGAAAATATATTAACCAATCTGTTCATTTTGTTTCCGTTATCGGTAATAGATTATACTGATGCCAGCCTATTTCTTCCTTAGTCTTCCAATTTTTTTCCATTGCCTTCACCATATAATAAAATGTACTTTTAATCTTTTCTATTATGTTGCTGGTATCTATACTAGCATTACACTCTCATTCTGCCGTTTTTTGTTGTCTTGTCAGTATAAAACACTATATCATTTTTTTTATAATATGAAGCATTTAAACTCCTATGGTTTTAGGAGCTATTATTTTTATATCTAAGTTTTATTTTTATTTTAGGTCATCTCTCCTACAGTTATGTACACAACAGCAGTCTCAAATACAACTTCTCAACCTCTGCAAACCCTATTAAGTACCAATAGAATTTTAACTACAGGAATTCCCTTGGTATTAGATGGGGAAAGTAAGGTTGCTATAAATCGTGTCCAACCAATAGGCAAAGAACACAAAGTTAAAGAAGTAAAAAGAAGTGCTCACAATGCTATTGAGAGAAAATACAGGACAAGTATTAATGACAAAATCGTTGAGTTAAAAAATATTGTTGTCGGAGAAGATGCTAAGGTAAATTCATTATATTTTACGTACATATTTTATAATGTTTAACCCTACACTGCTAAATTTTTTAAAATCAATTACAAAAATGTTTTTTAGAATTGTTTATGTTTAAGGATATAGGGGAAAATAATAAAAAAAATTTGTGACCAAAATTTTTATTTATTTTGACAAAAAAGTAGTTGTATCAAATCTGATACATTGAGCATTAAGTTACAAACAAGTTATTAGATATGAAATGAGACAAGAGCAATTATGGTTTTTATTTAAACATAAATGTATACCACATTTACAGCATTTAATATGGGAAAACAAACAACAAGTGGGAAATTTACATCTTTGTCTAGTTGGATCATACGTCAGCCAATGATCCATGGAATCTGTTCGAACGTCTTTAGGTGGTACATGAGAGAAAACTGTAGATTTTTTTCTCTTTTCCAGCAACATCGATTTAACTGAATCCTTGAAAGGCCTGCCTCATTTCCTATTGGTATTACCAGACCTGCAAAGACACTCTGCTATTTCCAGTCGAACATCAACCTGAGACATTGACTTTCCTCTGTCGTTGTGTGCCCATCTATAAACCAGCCATGGGTTGACAAGTGCCATGTCGATCAAGTGGTAAAAAAGTCTTATGTACCATTTTTTTGATCTTAGCTTAATTTTGTAGCTTCCTATAAAGCTGTTCATAGCATCTACTCCTCCCATATGGGCATTATATTCTGGAACTAAGCTGTTAATGGTAGTTTGCTTTTAAATGTTGATACAAAAATTAACTGGTTTGTTGTCTAACCACATTACTGAGGTTATATCAACTCCTTCAGCATTACAAACAAACTCTTCTGAAGTACCTCTGACATTTTTTCTAAACTCTGTTTCAGTTGGTAATTTACAATTTGGAATTCGTGGTCGCAGAACTGTACCTAGTGAGTAAATTCCTTTATTACCTAAATATGAAAGCAAAGGTAGTGATGTATAAAAATTGTCAAAGTAGATTCTGTAGTTTTGAAATTAAGGAACAATTCTGGATAGCCTCACAACGATGTTGGCACTAGACCCTAGGTCAAGTTCGTTGTCTAATCTAAACTTTGGATCGTTTTCTGTTCCAGTGTATATTTTAAAATTGTACGAAAAGCCATTACTTCCACATAGTACATAAAGTTTATAACCCCGTTTATGAGGTTTTGCTAGAAGGTATTGTTTTAAACGATGGCGTGCTTAGTAGAACAAAGTTGCTCATCAACAGAAAGATATTTATCTAAGGGTACTGACTGGAATCTGGAATTAGGTCTCAGTTTATGTAACTTTTTTTTTTCGAATAAACTCAAAGTAATTTTGACTCATAGTTTCATTGATTTGGGGAAAACCTAATGTTGTTGACCAATAACTCCGTACATTAGGCATATGAACAATTGACATATATATGCAGGTCCCAACATACTGCTTCATACCAGCTACAGATAACATAGCTGGTTTATTAGGATCTTTCTGGATAGAGTAAAGATTTGACTCATCTGCAATTTTTTGAAATAAGTTGTCATTAAAAAAATAGTTGAAGAACTGAAATGGTGTTTCAAGCTCTATTATTAAAGAAGGCAGTGTTACGTTTCCTCGAAATAGTAAAGACTCTTCACTTAAAACAAGATTTTGTTTACGCCATAACAAATTGGAATTTTTTTTTTCAAATTACCTGCCTCTTGTGGAATATTCTCCAAAGTTTCATTTAATATTATTCCTTTTGTAGTGCATGGATTTTCCTTCTCAACTTCTTCCTCAGGCAAAATTATCGTACCATTTTCAAATTCCAATCATAGTTTTTCTATATCAATTGGGTCGGTTATTTTGTCTTCAGGTAAAACGTCCATTTCTTCATCCGAATCCAGCTCCAAATCATCATCACTATCAGATAAATGTGCTATAGCATCTTCAAACTCCTTCTGAGTAAGCGGTCTTTTCCATCTTTGTGGATACGACATCTAAAAATAAAAACAAATTGTTGAAACTAATCTAACATTCACAGCAATAAAATAAAAATTTTGTGGCCATTTGACATAATGTAGCAAATTTGCTACGACCTAATTTTATTACAAAAAATGTTGCTGTGCAATAACTAAAATTATAAATAAATAAATAAAACTGATACTACTTACCTTTACAATAAAATAAAGCAATTAAAAATAATTCTACTTTCAATAAACTAAGTAATTTTCAATTAAAAACAGATATAGATTTCCAACGGTCATGTACTCACGTGTAGCTGACTACAAATAAACAAAATAACCGGTTGAAATCGCCGCATATTTAGTTTTTGCATTTATCAGCTGGTTCAATTGGGTTTTAACAAAATAGATACGATACGGCACGCAATAAACGGAAATATAATAGATATGACGAATATCTGAGGACAAAAATGGTTGTATCTAATTTGATACACCAGGCAGTGTAGGGTTAAATTGAGTTGCAAATTTTTCTGTTCTGACGTTATCTGGTTAGTTGTTTTCAACATAATAATATTCAAGATTAATCGACTATTCATAGTATACCCATAAAAAAGTTAAGTTGTTCAAAAATATGTCCTGAAATTTTTTGAAAGAAAAGAGGAGTTAAGTTCTTTTGTATAATTTTTATACAATGTTTTGTCCATTGTAGGAGTATATTGTATCTTGTATGTAATTGTTTTATTTACATTAGTGTGTAAAATCAAGTTTGCTGAGTAGTTCTGTATGACTATATAATTTACCGGGTTGGTGGCTTCAACGCTGAAATAGGCAAGAGGCAAGTAGAAGAAATAGTTTTTTGTATTCAACGAAAGAAATGGGCCGCAGGAACGGTATGCAGTATCGGAAAGAATTTAAGGTGGATATACACTTTGAACGGTAGGAAATGGGAGAAACATATTTAAAACGATAAACGACTACTTTAAAATTATCGTATACAGCGATAATTATCGTACACCTGACAACGCAGGACGTTACATTAAGCAGTGTTAAATTCGATCGGAAACATTGGGGTTTCAATCGGGTGTCTTGGAGGACATAATATAATTTTAATCTCACTCTATTAAGTGGAAATATAATGCTAGTATCTCTGGCTAATGTTGTAATACTAACGATCAACTTTTTCGGTATCTGTATATTTTGTCCCTGAGTCCTCTATTGTTCAACCTGATTATGGATGAAATAATAAAAAAGGAAAGAACTAGAAAAGGATAGGTAACAAATGAGACAAAAATAACCTAAAATAGTCTGCTGTTCAGACGACATAATACTACTTTCTCAAAGTATAGATGATTTACAAGTATGCTGCACCAATTTAAATAAACGATAGATAATTTAACATGTTAATTTCCCAAAAAAGCCAAATTTCAGGGTTATAACAGCAAATTTGCTAAGATATAAATTGGAGCTGGAAGATCAGATAACAGAACAAGTGATGGAGTTTACATATCTAGACATCACATTATCTAGCTCGAAACAGACGTGATCGATCAAATGAATAGAGCATACAGAGCGGCAGGTTGCTTGAAAGAAACAATATGGAGAAATAAAAATATCGGGAAAGAAATGAAAGGCAGAATTTACAAAACATCATCAGACCAGTAATGACACACGCGGCAGATAAAGTACAGATATACGACGTAGGTGCAAAGTGGAGAACATCAAGGACTGGGTAAGAAAAGAAGAGTAGACTGGAATGATCACGTAAGCCGATTGACAACAAATATAGTTTTAAAGACGGCATAAGACAGTTCCCCAATAGGGAGAACATTGATCAGTAGGAAGACCACGAAAACGATGGAACGACAACTTACTGGAGGCACATTGAAAAACAGACAGTCATGTCTACATAAAAAGAAGAAGGAGCATATTATTTGAATTAAAACTTTGACAATTTTATAATCACGGGCCTCTTCCCATATCAGTTGGCCCAACATTAGATTGATAAGAAAATAAAATTTTAGAGAACAAAACTAAAAGCCAAGCGTAAATTTTAGAATTTTTAAAGCATTGAACAACATTTTTGAATTTCCTAATTATATAAAATATTTTATAACGTAATGAAAACTATTGATTAAACAGAATAATAATGAATTTAAAAAAACGCATGAAATATGTAATATTAACTAAAAAAAATGTAAAAGTTTAACACTGAGTTACATCCTCTTTATTTTTATTGACATCCACAATTCTTCGAGGCTTGGTTTTTACCAAGTTCTGACACAATTTGTTAACGGACCTGGCAGGATGTTTTCTCAAAGCTGTTTTCATTTCGCGCCACAGTCTCTATCTGGGACAAGTCTTGACTGTTAAAAACCCATTCCATTCCAAGTGGTATGCCATGGTCTTCAATCCACTTTAACCCATTTTTTGAGGTATGACAACCTGCGCGGTCCTGTTGGAAGACAAAATCATCCGGTGATGATAAACGGTGTTCCAAAGCAGGTAAAAGAGCTTCTTCTAAAATATTCAAATATTTGTCCGTTTTTACAATACCATCGATAAAATGAAACTTTCCCACACATTTAGACGACGGGCTGCCCCAGATTATGACATATGCAGGAAATTTGACTTTTCTCTCCAGACTGTCCGTATGGAAAGCTTCATTTTTCCTGCTAATGACGCAACTCCTACTGTCTCCAACACACACTACAAATCTGGACTTATCACTCCATTGTATTTAATCCCATTGCGATTGAGTCCAATCTTTGTGTTCTTTTGACCATCATAGTATATTTTTCTTTTGCTGTAATGTTTAAAGTGGCTTCTCCTTAGTATAAAATAAAATGAAATTTATTAAAAACAATTCGTACTAATTTTCATTTTATTTTATTTCATAGAAATTTTTTAAAATAAAAATGACGTTTGTTAAACGTCATTATATTTTCATATTTGTATGTATACCACAAGGTTACAACACGCGTCTCAATTTTTCGAGTCACGCTAAATATGATTTTGGGCCTGTGCAAAAACTTCATACCGAGCGATAAGAAATATTCACTTTAAAAATTT